TTTTTTTTAAATTTTTTGATTAATTTAGAAAAATTTTGGCTTTTTTTTTTTTTTTTTTTTTAACACATTTTTTAAATACAAAATACCTGAGATTCTCAAATTTTCTGGGTTTTTATAGCAAGCCCAGAAAATTTGCTGGGTTTAAAAATAACCTGGGTTTGCTTTGTTTGAAAACAAACTCAAACTCAGAAATTTTCAAGCTTCTTTCTAAAAGAGATTCTGAGATTAATCTTAAGTTTTGTGATTTTTTTCTACCAAATTTTTAACTTTTCAAACTCAAAAATGTTCTTTCTTTTTTTTTTTTTTTTTTTTTAGAAAATTCCCAAGCTTAATCTTAACATTTCTGAGATTTTTCTCTCCAATTTTCAACTTTTGAACAAAGAAATTTCCTTTTTTTTTTTTTTTTTTTGGCAATATATCTGAGATTATTTTCAACATTTCTTAGTTTTTTTTGTTTGTTTGTTTTTTTTAACATAAATTCACTCCTTCTTTTCTACAATTACCCTAATATGCTGTCACAGCTGTCCGGTAGTTAACATTTCAGTCTATAAATAATTTTCTCTCTCTGAATTACTTGTAGAAGTCTATAAATGTGCTAATAAAATCATGAACCTTCAATAGTTTAAGATATTTTTGGTTGTCACAAATATAAGTAAGAGTCACTCATATGTCTAGTTATTTTTTACTTTTAGGAACATCTTTTTAATTTTTGAATTTAGTAATTTAATATTATTTCTATTCTGCAAACTTGTAAGTCTTCCTAAAGTCTTTGAATGTTAGATTGCAAGACAAAAGAGAGAAATTTATATCCACTTGCACTCTTAACCACATGTATTTTATAAAAATGAAAATTTTAGAATTTATAATAAACTAAACTTTAAAGTGTTTGTTTTTGTTACACTGTTTTATAAAATATTTCTGATGATTCACTGAACCTTTTCCATTTAAATGTGCTTTTTATTTTTTCTTTTGTTTTAACTTTTCTTTTTTCCACCTATTTGTCCTAATTTCTGCTTGTCTTTCCTTTTTCATTTCTTTTTGTTTAATCTCTCACTTTATTTATTTTTGCTTTCTTTTTCTTTCCCATCAGTCTTTCCTTTTTTTTCTTTTAATATTCTTATTTATTTACTTTTCTTTCTTTAGATTTTTTCTTTTTGTTTTAAATTTTATTTTTAGATTCTACCTTCTTTTATTATTTATCCTTTTAATTTTTTTATTTTATTTTAATTTGGTTCTATTATTTATTTTTGCTTTAATTGAATTTACTGCCTCGGCGGAACATTTCTACGAAGTAACTCGCGTTCCGGGCGGGGCAGTTTTAACAGTCGGACATGTTAAAACTGTTTACACGTGAGGTTTCCACATTAGTTTCTTAAGTGGCTAATTTATCCTCTATTCACTTTTTTTGAACAATTATACTGAAGAAATAACGACTTTAAAACAATTTTATCATGAGTTCCACAGGACAAAGGTTTATGGCGGTTTGATGACGAAGAATGATTTTCCTTTCGTCGTTTTTGAGCTGCTAAAGTCTCAGTTTCGTCTGTTTCTGTATCAGAGTCTGTGTTATATCCAGTTTATTTAAAATGGGAAAGCTAAGGAAGAAGCACAACTGGAAAGGAAGGCAGAAAAGTGAAACGCAGCAACCAGCAAAGGAGGAGAAGACGGATATTGTGGTGGAGCTAAACGGTAGGAAACACTGCTGTTATTAAGATGTTTATTTATTCATTCCTTGTTTAAAACGCAGCGCCCTTACGGATCTATGTGG